GACGCGTTTCAGAAAGGCGGGGCATAGAGGAGAAACAATAATGTACAGTATGTGGAAAATAATGTGTTTTTTTAACCTTAAACCGCATAAACACATTTCATTACACCAAATACACAAAATAATGTTCTTTTTAGCAACATCATATGACCCCTTTAATTTTCTCACAATTCAGACTTTGTTTCAAGCAATTCTGACAGTTCTGTTCACGTCTTACAATTCCTTTTTTTATTTTTTGAGTCAATTGTGAGATGTAAACTCAGAATTACAAGATATATTCACAATTCTGACTTTTTTTTGTCCACCATGGAGTAAAAAAAAAAAAAAGTAATTGCAACTTTTTATCTCACAATTCTGACTAAAAAATATAGGTTTTTGTTGAAATGCCTTGGTTATTTTGTAAAACATGTTAGTCGAACAGTGGTATACCCACAGCTGATATTATTATATTATATTTCAGAAAAATATTATTTATCTATAAATAAAGTATTTATAGATCGTTCTGTAATTTTGATCTCTACTGTGTGTGTATATATAGGGTCTCTTACCCTCCAGTGAGATGAGGGACCACGGCTGGCGTGGATACATGAACGAAGCGTTGGTGATCTGCTGATTAATGTCCTCGTCCTCGTTGAAAGGGAACGTCCCACTCAGACTGACGTATAAAATCACGCCCACGGCCCACACGTCCAGAGAGCGATTGTAACCCTTACTACAAATGACCTCAGGTGCCAGATACGCCGGCGTCCCGACGAGAGTGCGCCGGAACGACTTCTGTCCGATGATACGAGCGAAACCAAAGTCACACAGTTTGACCTGAAACAGAGACCACATGTGATCACATTTAGGACTTGTGGATACTAAATGACTCTTTTTTTCCCCCCACTACATCTACACATTTATGGATTTGGCAGATACTTTCATGCAAAGCGACATACATTGCATTCAATGCAAACATTTTTCATGCATTGGGTTTTTGCATTTCCCAGAAATCAAAACCATGATTCTAGCGCAGTGCTCAGCTGTTTCAACTTTTATAAAGCTTAAAAGCAATACCTAAATATCTCCACATGCAATTCTAGACTTGACTTTAAGCATCAAAAACATTGAAAATCAAACCATGACAGTGTCAGACCTGAGGAAATGGTTCAGGTGAAGCCAGCAGCACATTTTCTGGTTTCAGGTCACAGTGTGCAACGTCCCTCATGTGCAGGTACCGCAGAGCCTCCAAAACCTTCAACACCAACCACAGATTGACAGGTCAGCAAGACTAAAACTTATTTAGTCTCCACTGATTTACACTCCTAAAAATACAGATTCCAAAAGTAGGTTTTGGCAGCCAAGCCATAGAAGAACCATTTTTGGTTCCCCAAAGAACTTTCAGTGAACAGTTTATAAAAGAACCATTTTTTTTCTTACTGGGAAGAACATTTTAATAATCTAAAAGAACCTTTTTATATCATAAAGAACCTTTTGTGAAATGGAAAGATTCCACTCTCTTAAAGGGGTCATCGGATGCCCATTTTCCACAAGTTGATATGATTCTTTAGGGTCTTAATGAAAAGTCTGTAACATAGTTTTTGTTAAAATTTCTCAATGGTAGTGTAAAAAACACCCTTTTTACCCTGTCAAAAACAGCTCTTTTCAGAGCACGCAGTTTTGTAGTGTTTTCCTTTAAATGTTAATGAGCTCTCCTGGCCCCGCCCCTCTCTTCCGAGCTGCTCTGTTGGGAGTAAATGAGGACTGCTATGTTCATTATTACATCCAACAACAGAACACCTCAATCGCTTAGGAGTCATTCTTGTCTACATCTGCTCCGGCGGAGAAACAATGGCGGACTGATGACAGCTCACTCAGGGCGGGTCTAATGCCGAGTTCACACTGCATGATTTTCAAAGACGTCGTATCACAGTTGGTTTCACACTGAACGACTATCTGGGGTAGCATTCAGTTGTTGCTGTGTTCACATTGCACGATGGAACGACGACAGGAGGTTACACACTGCATGACTTCACAATAGGAAGAATCGCCGACAGCTCTGTCTGGTGCAGGGTTGCCAGGTTTTCGCTACAAAACCCGCCCAATTACTACAATATACAGTGGGTACGGAAAGTATTCAGACCCCCTTAAATTTTTCACTCTTTGTTATATTGCAGCCATTTGCTAAAATCATTT